TTCGACCGATAAAGATCTTCGTGGAATATGCAGGAACCAATATGGGCATCGAGGTCCCGCTATTGGTTATTGATCGGATAAGCATCTCGGTCATGTCTACATCATTCTCGAACCCATAGGGTCCACATGCTTAATTTTTTGATGATATAGTATTATATGAGTTATGTATGTTGGTGACCGAATGTTGTTTGGAGTCCTGGATAAGATCACAAATATGACGAGAAGCTCCGGAATAGTCTGGAGGTGAAGATTAATATATGGAATAATAGTGTGTGGTCTTTCAAAGGTTTCCGTAATTCACCGGAAGGGGTTTTGGATGTTCCCCGAAATGTTCGGGTACGAGAACACATTGTATGTCCAAGGGGTAAAGCCCACGATGCTTTAGGAAGGTGCAAAAGGAGTTTTGCGAAGGCCAGGGGGCAGACGCCAGGGACCCTGGCATCTAGGGCCAGACGCCAAGGACCCCGGCGTCTGGTCCTGGAGTCCGAGAAGGACTCTTGCTTGTGTGCCAAACCGTCTTTGAGGAGGCTCTTTCTTCAAGAAATGACCCCAGGGCTCAACATATAAATAGAGGGGCAGTGCTAGCACCCAGAAGACATCAAGATTCACCAAGCCATGTGTCGGCAACCCCGTCCCCTCTAGTTTATCCTCCGTCTAGTTTTCATTATGCTTGACGAAGCCCTCCGGAGATTGTTCTTCATCACCACTGTCACCACGCTGTCATGCTGCTGGAACCCATCTACTACTTCGCCCCTCATGCTGGATCAAGAAGGCGAGGACGTCATCAAGCTGAACGCGGAGGTGTCGTATGTTCGTTATTTGATGAGGACGGGTCGTGAATATGTACGACTACATCAACCGCGTTGATAAACACTTCCGCTTAGCGAACTTCAAGGGTATGAAGATGCTCTCCCCCTCTCGTAGCTATGCATCTCCATGGATAGTTCTTGCGTGTGCCAAGAAATTTTTTGTTTTCCATGCAATGTTCCCCTGCATGATATAGGAATGATCAAGGGGGGTTTGCTTGCCTGGAAGCTCTGCTGAAAAGGACTAGTCGTCAGGAGTGTAGTCGATCTCGGGAGCAACGTCAGTCTCGGGGTCTACTAGAGAGAAGAGGGGGAAGAAAATATAAATATAAAGCGAACAGATGCATCACAGTGTATGACATGGCAATATGCACTGTTAGGGGTGACCTAACGCGGTGCTACACGTTACAGATGAAGCGGCAAAACATCTAGGAATATTTTCCCGACGTTTGGCATTTTTCGGACAGATGATCTCCAGTAGAGGGGGAAGAAACAATAAATACAAAGCAAACAGATGCATCACAGTGTATGACATGGCAATATGCAGTGCTAGGGGTGACCTAACGTTGTGCTACACGTTACAGATGAAGCGGGAAAACATCTAGGAATATTTTCCCAACGTTTGGCATTTTTCGGACAGATGAATCGAAGGGGAAGGATCCATGTTTATCATGCTAGAGCCATGTGACAGATGAACAGATAGTATATTAGGATTCGTTACATTTTTCTAAGTAACTTCCATATATAAATTATTTTCATCTGAGTTATAGATTATTTTATATGTTTTTTCAAAGTTTTAAACAATATTTTAAAATAAAAGAAACCTTTTAGCCAACTTAATTGGGCCGAAAATAGATTGATTAGAAAGCCCAACATCTTTGAGGACAGTGGCCCATAGTGCTTTCACGGTTCTTCAGATAGAAGTTAAAATAGCACATCTCTAGCATATCTACCTCTATCCTCTTCTCCTCGTAAAAGAAGGACGGCGCTAACGCCCACACATGTAGTGGGAGCCAAACCCGCCCACGCGCCCTAACACACACACTATACCATGTCACCGCATGCATGCATATGAATTTTTTTTGGATTTTCTGTTTTTAAATTGTTTTATCTCTGAAATGAAAATTTTGATTGAAGATCCGTTTTCACCATTAAATCCCTCGTGGAGAGATATTCGAAACTAGATCTCATATCAATATATTTCGATGAATTATTTTTTGTTAAAAGTTGCCGTGTCTATTGCACATGAATTGCCATGATGTTTACACTAAAGTTGACATGATATGTTTCAGCTATTTTCTTCTACATTAAAAGTAAATTTTGACATATTAGAAAATGGGGAACTAAGAAACTAGACCTGCCATGCACCATAAACTAAAATTGTCATGATACATGCACTTAAAATTGTAATGGTTCATACAAAAAAATATTTTCATGGTCAAATTACTGGAATTGCCATCATCAAAAAACTAAACTGCCATAATCTACAAACTAAAATTGCCACATGGCAAATTTAGTTTAAGCACTATGGCAACTACAGTGTAAACATCATGGCAATTTTTGGAGGAAAAAAATCGTCGAAACATATCAACATGGGGTCTAATTTTGAAGATCTCGTCGAGATGGATTTAATGGTGAAAATTGATTTTTAATTCGATTTTTTAATTAGGAGATAAAACATTTTTAAGCCGAAAACCAAAAAAATATGCTGATATCATCTGTTCATACGTGGCAAAATGAGTGGTGATGAAGGCAAACGCCCACACGTGTGGGCGCTAGTTTTTCCGTAAAAGAAAAAGGTTAGCAAACCTGAAGAGTCTCTCTCGCACGTCTCTCTCTCTCTCTCAAGCTTTCATGTTTCTCTTTCTCTACTTCCACCGTATCATCTTCTCCCTGTAAAAAACTTTAGCGAACTTGAAGAGTCTCCCTCTCTCTCTCAAGGTTTCATGCTTCTCCTCCTATCTCATGTCTTTTCATAGCGCCCGATCTTTCTGAAATTAATAGTAATTTGAAATTCAATAGCAAAATGCTATGGGCACCCGTAAGAGTGTACCCAGCCAGAGTGCACCTATGGCTAACAGTGGGCCAGGAGGGGTCCAATCAGCAGGGTCAACTGTTGACCAGTTGACTGGTCAACAGGGTCCAGGGGACCCACCTGTCATTGACAGGGACTAACCCATTCAGCCTTTGACTAGTCAACAGGGCAGGTGGGGTCTACATGTCTTACACTGCTACCTTTAATAGACATTTAATTAAACTAATTAAGTGGGTTAGGGTCCCTGGGGCCGCTGTCAGTGGGGTTAGGGGCGGGTTAGTGGCAAAGGTCGTTTAGGCCGGCGTTTAGCGACGGTGGCCTCTGGCCACGGCGGACGGGCTTCGGGGAGCCACGGTAGCGGCGGAGGAGGGCGCTGGGAGCCTCGGCGCTAGAAGCCATGGCCACGTGAGGGGAGCGGCTGATGGAGCCGGCATGGCCGGGCAGACGCAGGCGCGGCCAGGGCGCGACCCGAACACGGCGGGAGCGCGGGCAGCAGGTCAGGCGCAGTGGGAGCATGGCGGGACGCGACGGGCACGGACAGGGGCCACGGCTAAAACATCCAAGATTGATAATATAACAGCATAAAATAATAAAAATTTATAGATACGTTGGAGACGTATCATGTGCACACACTAGTGGCAGGCGAATAATTTTACCCGCCACTGGATTTTTTTCCCGAATTAGCTATGGCGGGTTCCTGGCCATGCCCACCACTAATTTGAGGCCACCTATAAGCCTTTTACCAGTAGTGGCGATCTAGATCTAATCTTCTCCACCTTCACAGATGATCTTTGGTTTTGATTTCTTAGGAAGAAATTTTGTTTTCTACTATGTTTCTCAACATGAAGGTGAAAATAGAATAATAACGTCTTTATTATGGCTTCTAAGGCATATTTCTAAGACATATTTCTATAATTTCCAGCAAGATGGATGATGGTTTTGTGGACCTGCATACAATGCTAGCACAACAGCATCGCCCTGAAAGGACCATGGTCCTGCTTCCATAACCCTCTCCAAAACCGTTAGGCAGAAGAATTTCATTAAATGAAGGTTGTTGTGTAGTGGGTGAATCTTGACATCCTGTGCAAGATCCCACCGATCACATATTCCTGTAAAACCAATACTTGTAAGGCTTGTCTACGTGTACCCGTGCAATTGCCATCCAGCGGGTTGCCATTGGCGGTAACATCTCCTCCTACTAAAAAAACTCTGTTATCAAGATCCTTCTCATGTAAACGGCCTCGACCTCGCATGAGTCAGTCCTTGACCCTGACGCTCGATGGTCCATGATCAAACTAGAAACCTTAAGCTGGAGTAGAAGACAAACCGTGCACCAACCCTAGTTCTCTCAAATCCTTCCAAACAGTTAAGCCAAGACAGGGCAGGGAGATCCATGATTGCTCCTGAATCGGTCCTAGGCTTCATCATCGGGATATTGGGGAAGCAGGGAAGAATTTCTCAATGTCGGCGTATTGCCGTGGAGATGAATAGAAACCCTAGCTAGAGGGAAAAGTCGATATACGTTATTTTAGTAACAATTAGAGGGGGCAAAGTCTTTATATGTTTATTTTTTATAGACAAAAAAGTTTGAGAAAGTATTATCGTGCACTATGATACAATAAATTGGGCCTGTGCATATGGAAATCAGATAGTGGGCTGGGAGAGGCATCATCGGATTGTTTTGGGTTAAGAAAATGGGCCTGTGATGCCCATCCAGACGACTATTCGGCTATTGTTTTTTTTATCAAAGCTGGCCGTTTGCCTCAGAAAATAAAATCAAAGCTGGCTGTTCTCCGTGCCGTCTCCGATCCAAATTCCCGGCGCCGTCCCGCTTCAGATCGATCGCTGCGGTCGCCGCCATCTCGTTCATCGCCGAGCTTCAGGTCTGCTACTCTGCTGCCCTCCTCTTCCTTCTAATCTTGAAGAGAGACATGCATCCGGGAGGAGCGCATCTCAATTCTCAACCCTAAACGAACTGCCTCTGCCACTCAGCAGCAGCAACCCGGGTACACGGGATGGAGAAAAGGAGGAGGAAGGAGGAGGAGCAGCAGCAGCAGGCGATAGAGGGCCTCCCCAACGACCTCCTTCGGGAGATCCTGTCGCGGTTGCCTTACCAGTCTCTGTGCCGCTCAAAGTGCGTGTCGGCAGCGTGGCTTGCGATGTGTTCCGACCCCGCCGTCCGTCGGAGATCGCCGCAGACGCTCTCCGGTTTCTTCGGCCTCTCCCGCAGCGGCAGCAACCGTTTTGTCAACGTTTCCGGGAGAGGCCGACCGCTAATTGACCCTTCTTTTCCTTTCCTCCACGGCTTCCAAAACGTCAAGATCGTAAACTGCTGCGGCGGCATCCTTCTATGCCATGGTATGCGAGCGGAGGGCGTGGAATACATTGTGTGTAACCCTGCGACCGAGGAGATCTGGGCCGTGCTGCCCGTGCCTGATACCCATGAGACACCACGTCCTCATGCTTACCGCACCATTTGCTTGTGTTTCGATCCGATCGTCCCTTCTCGCTTTGCGGTGTTTGTCATCATTCAGAATGGTCGCGACATTACCATTATGGAGGTCTACTCATCGGATACCAGAGAATGGACTTCCATGTCGAGCCCATGGGGTCACAAAATTGTGTTATATGGCTTGGAACCAGAATGCTTCTTCTTAAATAGCACTCTACATTCCAGTGCCTATGATTCTCGTGTGGAGACATTTGACTCGGAGGGTAATTCAATAAACATGGTAGTTATAGTGGACACAAGCGGGGATACTTGGAGGACAACTCGACAGCCGACCAAAGCTAAACTGAATTTCTTTGGGCACTCTCAAGGACGATTACATGGAATGGATATAGACAATCGTAATGGTTGCCGGATATCAGTTTGGGTTCTCGAGGACTATGCTAGTGGACAGTGGACCTTAAAGCACACTGCCAGTGTTCTGGAGTTGGTAGGAAAGCCTTCTCGTGAGTGCGATGAGTACTACACCTTGGTTGCAATCGATCCAGAACGTAACCTTATTTTCCTTAATGGCGGGGTGGAGCCGGAACAGACACTTATGTCGTATGATTTGGATACCCAGAAGTTGCATGTTATCTGCACTCTTGAAGATTATCAGAGGAAAATTTTCCGACCTTACATTCCCTGCTTTGTGGAATGGCCGCCATCGGATGCTCATTGAATTTGTGAGCAACTTCACATTTGCTATGTTGGCATGGCTCCTTCATGAAAATCGGCTGTTGGGTATGGTCGAGATCTTCTAGTTGTGTGCAGCGGCTTGAACAAGTACTACATCTACTCGAGTTTAGTTTTCTTATCAGTTGCGTCCAGGATCATTTGTTTTTGTGGCTTTAAACATTATTTTGTTGGCTAGTCAGAAGATGTTACTCAGTACGTTGGTGCGGGTTGTTAGCTACCTGTGCCCATTGGAGAGGGGCGTGCTCGTCGACTCGCCCTCAACATTAATTCTTCTTTGGCCTTGACATCGTCTTCATTGGCTCCTGGCGCTGGGAGCATTGACAATCTCCTGGCTGGGAGCCCGTCCCTGTACCCCCCGCGTCGCCTCCCCGGGCGAGGCGACCGGGGGGCCCCGACGCCGTTCCCCTCCCGCGCGCTCCCAAGTTCCTCTCCCCTGCCGCCGCCAGCGCGCCGCCGGGCCTTGCCCGCGTGGTGCCGGCGGCGGCGGGCCTGCCTGTCCCCACGCGTGGCCTCCTCTGCTCGGGCGATGGTGGTTGGCGGAGGTGTTCCTCGGCTGGCGATGGTGCGTCCTGGTGGCGGGGTCCGCGGGGCGCGGGCGTGTCTGATGCGGTGGCGTGGCCGTTGGCCGCGGGGCGCGCGGCGGTGCGGCTAGCCGCCGGCCTTCGCTCCGCCCAGATCTGGGCTCTTCTGGGCTCCAGCTGGGTTGGGGCGGGCCGGCGTTCCGGCGTGCGGCGGCGTGGCTCCCTGGCGGTGGTGGCGCGGCGTCGAGGGATGCGGGTGGTGGCGGCTTCGTCGGCCGAGGTGCTGCAGCGTGGCGGCAGGGGTTGTCCGGATCTCTGGGGTCCGGCCGGGCCTGTGCGGGCCTGGTAAGCTCCTGTCATCACGTTTGGTCGGCTCCGCGTCGGCGGTGGTGGTAGTCCCCTCCCATCGGCTGAGTTGCGGCTTCCCCCGAGCCCGTTGGCCCCTCGTCCCTCCTCCAGGTCTCGTGTCAGTGGCTCAGCGAGACGGCGTTGATGGTTCAGTGACTGTGGTAGCACATGTTGGTGGGCGGCAGTTCTGGTGGAGCGCTTCCGATCGTCCGGGGTGGTGGTGGTTGTTTGGGTTGGGAGAAATCCTTGGTGGCTTGTCCATCACCGACGTGGTGACGCCTGTGGGCGCCGCCGGACCTTCCTGAAGGGCGTCGGATCTGCCCCTTCCCCACTGCCCTTTGCGTACCGGGGAAAACCCTTGGACTTGCCTGGGCAGTAGCGTCGTCGTCGTCGCATTCCTTCCTGAAGGTGTTGCTCGGTACGCGACGCCTCGGAGTGCTAGAAGCGCAGTGGTACTTCTCCGGTGGGTGCAGCGGTCACCGGCCATCTTTGTTTCGTCAACCTGCCATTGTCGGCATTTGTTTCTTGCATAATAAATGAGATAATAACACTTCAAGGTGTAGTCTACTTTCTCTGCACTTGAGAATCGCCTACAAGCTGTGGTCTGAAGGAGGCAAAACAAGTTGCCCATGTCAAACTGATCGATTGGGTTGCCAGATTATTCGTGGCACAGGACCCTGAGTCTTATAGACGTGACAGCAGCACCACTCTCACAGGCCTGCACATACCTACGCACCAACTGATTCAGTAAGCGCTCTGTTTTTTTGCAGACTGAAACAGTTCAGTTGGACAGCCTTCAGTTATAGCACGAAGCTGAACTGACGATGCCATTTCCAAGGTATTTATTTACTCGAGCATAAAACCACCAGCTAGGAAATACAGAAGGAATCCAACACACACAATATGTTGCTCAGACGCAAACAGCATTGTCGTCGATTCTTCTACCTACGAACTTTTATTTACTTCTGACATTATTTTTACTACCTGCGAACTACTCCACAATGCAAGGGTTCAAGCATCAAACAGGAGATGCCTACAAGATATGCTTCTGCTCTTCTAGCTGAACCGATGGCGAGGCATGCACGGGACGGGGAGCACGCTTCCATTGCTGGTGCTGCACGACGAGTCTGACTGAAGTACTGAACCCTTCCCGCTCCGAGCATCGGGGGGATACGACCAGAGCAGAAACGCATGCGTGCTTGGTGGCGGCGGATATCGCCTACCTTGCGGCTGGTGGTCTCTTGGGGTGCGCCCGAAAATCTCACTCTGAAGACAGACAGCGTGATCTGGAAGTCGACACTAAACAGTTCAGTCTTTCAACGGCTCCGATGCTCTCGGTCTCTGACAAAAGATGAAGATCTACGGTTTCAGTTCAAAGCATTTATTACCGCTGACAATTTTTTATCTTAATAAAAATAATAGAATTATATTAGCGGAGTGAGTTAACTCGTCGCACCATATAGGCCAATTGCTGATGTACAAAAAAAGTGTAGGCTAGCTAGTGAATG